TAGCCTATTCATGTAAAGTAAATGGTTCAAGCAACCTATGACTGTACCACAGACATTTTTCTCCCTCTCACTCAGTGGTATGACCAACCGGTCAAAAGAGGTGACTGTGCTGCTCTATTCGGCATTGGTGTGGCCTCACCTTGAGTACTCTGTGCAGTTCTGGGGCCCACAATTTAAGAGGGATGTGAAGGTCCTTGAGTGCATCCAGAAGAGGGCAACAAAGCTGGTGAAAGGGCTGGAAGGAATGTCTTATGAGGAGCTGCTGAGGACTCTGGGTTTGTCTAGTTTGGAGAAAAGGAGGCTGAGGGGCAACCTCATTGCTCTCTGCTACTACCTGAGGAGGAGCAGTGGAGAAGGAGGTGCTGAGCACTTCTCCCTGGTACCCAATGATACGATGCGTGGGAATGGTTCAAACCTGTACCAGATTTTGCATGCTATGAATGTGACACAGTGATGGCTAAGTTAAGCATTCAAATACTTCCATAATTATTTATGTGGATTTTTTAAATACATCATAGAATCATTTAGATTGGAAAAGACCTGTAAGATCATTGCGTCCAACAATAATCCTAACCCTGCCAAGTCCACCAAATCATAGCAAGGACATAACATCCTGTACAAAACAGGCTTGGTAATGTCCTTTCACTGCACGTGCTGTGGAGTGTTTGGCATAAAATCCAATTTAAAATGCAAAAATATCACTTTCAGTATTTGGTTCCCCTGTACCAGGGGAGGTTTGGACTGCACATTAGGAAGCGTTTCTTTAACAAAAGGGTGGTCAAACACTGGAACAGGCCTTCTAGAGAGGTGGTCTGTGCCCAAGCTGTCAATGTTTGAGGCATTTGGACAGTGCCCTTAACAACATCCTATCTTTCAGGTCCTTCTTTTTTCTGTTTATCCCACCATCTTTCCATATATCAGTTCTGAAGTTTGTTATATGTAATATCTTGGGCAGCAGTGTACAATGTTGTGTATTTTGAAGCAAAACCCCTGAGTCTTGAATACTTTTCCATTTTACTGTGTCCATCAGTGCAGGTCATAATTTCTCAGGCAAAACAGGAGTACTTTGTCTCTGAGTTGGAGTACCCGTGTTTCATGAGGCTCTGTAAAGAGTGTGCAGTCACCACCTGTCTTATTCAAACAATGGTAAAAGGTCTTGTAGCCAGAAGAAGTTAACAGTTCCAAAGATGACCCTAAACTTTATTCGTCTTAAAACAGTTATATCAACTGTAGGTTATAGTATCTCTTGTCCAATGTGTTACTGGAGAGACTTTGCACAAGAGGAAGATGAAAAGCAAGGAAGCTCAACCATTTCCCTAGTTTCCCTTTACGCTCCTACTTATTTTGCTGCTCTATGCAACCAAGCTGCAGTACAGGTTGCAACACAGCCGAGTTGTGTGAAGAGCCGTGATATTTCTTTTGTACTTTTTGAAGGTTGATATTGTTCCTTATCCTCTAGGACATCATTCTTTGTCATTTGCTACATCTAGTAAGTTTTTTAAAAGCCACTATTCTTAGTTAGAGGAAATAGTTGGAAATATTTCTACTTTTTATATTAAAGTTAACTTAAGTTCCAGTATGAGTGTGGTTATGTTCAGTAATGGGGTAATGTGACTTCTAGAAACACAAACTATTAAATATACTGCTAAAAAGCTTGAAAGAGGTTGTTGGGCATTTTCTAGGGATTTTAATGGCTCATAGGAAGGAACTTTTGAAGCCCGAATTCTGTTCATGTTGTGTATGGACTTTAAAGCGTGCCATGGCATTTTTTTCCCAAAAGTTTATTCTTCAAAAGATTTGCAAAAAATATTACTCTATTTATATTATCAGAAAAAGAAAAATCTGCTGCATTTTTTCCTGTAAAGCATGTGGCAAAAGTAGTCTACAGCTCTTGTTGGACATTATCAAAATGTGCTTTTTCAGATTGCACTTAACTTGCCCATGGCTCCGGTGTTTGTTACAAAAAAAAGAGAAGGCGCCTTCTCCCTCACTTTTTTTAGAGGGAACAGTAACATAAAGACATCAGACAAAGCAAGGAGAGTTTGATGAAAAGGAAGACAAGCCCACTTCAGTTCTAATGTCTTGCTCAGGTGGCTTAGTCCTGGTTGCCTGGACCCCTGTGGCTAAGAACCATCAAGGACCATCAGTGCTACTTATACAGCATCAGCTCGATGAACTTGTGTATTCGCAGCTGATTCAGCGTAAGAGTATTAAACGCTAACACTCTTCTGGATATAAGGACATTGTTTAATACTGTGTAAGAATTGACCATTACCAAGAAGTGTGTTGTTAATGAATGAACTTAGTTTAAAGTTTAAAACAGGCCTGATCTGTCAGTCTTCTAAACAATCCCATACATTCAATTAAAAAAAAAAAAAAATTGTTGTGCTTTGCTTGTCCTTAGTATCCCAAGAAAAAGCTAGTGGTTACTTTAACCCCTGATTTCTACTTGTGCACTGGGACTTCATCACCTAAACCAATTCTAGATAACTGCATAATTTTTTTTTTTTCATTAATAAAGAATCTGAACAGTTGAGAGGATATTTGTTTTTATTTTAGTGTCCTGCGATCTGCTGCTGCTTTCTGGAGCAATTGGTGCTCTCATCTGTGGAGTCTGAGCAGAACTTTGCAGTAGATATTTCTAATAGTGAGTTAGCAGATGAAGATGGGCTTTTGCTTTGTTTTTTCACACCCTAGATAACTTTTTTTTGTCAAATAGGAATTCATTTGCATTAACATATTGCGAATCTTACAACAATCAGCATTCAGTTTTATGTAAAGATCCATGTGTATGCATTATGAGTTTAGTTTTATAAATATTTTGTTGCTGCTTAGTAACTGAAGCTACCTAGGGTGTGCAAGAGAAACCTCAGCAATGTACTTTCTGATCAGTTATACCTGTATTCCAAGCAAGTTCATATTCTCATATAAATTAGTGGCAAAACATACCTCTGCGGTTTATATATTATTTTAAAACTGGCAATTTATCAAGTGATTTTTCTTGAAATTTCCATGCTTATTAAATTTCAGATTATGTATTTTGGGTAAGCTGGAAACTTAAACTTGTTTCCATAAGTATGGCTGCTGGTAAACAACCAATTTTAGTCCAGAAAATAGCTTTTGCTTCTGTCAACATGTTGTTTATTTTCTCCCCGAGATAAAAAGTTCAGTTTTCTGATATTTGTACCAAGATAAAGTCTGTAAACAAGATTAATATAGTGTGGAAAAGGTTGTCAGCAGCCCTGGCAAAGGAAATAAGTTGCCTGTACACAGAACATACTGTAAACTGAATAAAAGTGTCAGGTCCACCATGAGATAATGTGATCATGAACCTCTAACAAAGCATGACATAGGCACAGTCGGCTTTTCTTATAGCCACAGTGTAGAAAATGGATTACTATATTCCAGGGATACCCACTGGAATAGCATGAAAACCTCATTTTTAGATTAATGCAGGATGTAACTCTCAAGAGCTGAGCTACATATTTACCTGTAGTGTTAAAGTAACAGTTTAGTTATTAATCTTAGAATTTGGAAATTATATATTAAAACACTTCTCCATATTTCTAGCTTTGTCTTTGTGAATTGACATTCCTTGCTGGTATTATTAGGTGAACTATGCCATTGCAAAAGTAACGTTTGGTCACTATTTTATTATTATCATGTGGCAATATAAAGTTTCGCTAAGTCTAGTAAAACAGTAAATTCCAAATGCTCTTAAAGCAGTAGGTGCTGTTCTCCAAATGTGGCTGCCATGCCTACTCGGTAGGGATTTGTATGTTTGCATAGATATTTCTGGGGTAAGGCGTTACCAAGTCTTTTCGATTACCACCAGCCAGAAAAGGGACAACGCTTTATGGTTACTCAGATTGGCCCTGAGTGACGCCATTCTTCAGGTCAAAGAAACAGATTATTTTTTTTAACTGCACAGAGCTTTCAAATTATTCAGTGAGCGTTCTTTGAAAGTTTTCCAGATTTGGAGCTCTGACTGCCCTGGCTTTTCTCCAGCATGAGACCCGATGAATAGAGATTTTTTTCTTTAAAACTTGAGCGCATTGTTCTTTTAATAAAGAATAGGCTCCTTTTATCTGTGAAGCTTTCGCTTGCGTACTTTTGGCAAGCCTGAGCCATATAAATGTATTATCATTGAGTTTTTGTGGTCTCCTTTCAAAACTGGCAGAACGTCTGACTTCATTCCCTCCTCTGGTCATCTACTGACTATAAAACTATCTCCAAGGAACTGAAAATTTGTTCCTGCATTCTTTCCAACAGGAATACTTTGCGTTCTGCTCTGTTTCTTCAGGCGTGAGTTTAATCAGGTGGTCTCTTATTCTTCTGCTTTTACCTATCTACAAGTGCAGACAAATTAGCCAGATTCCAAAAACAAAAATAAAGCTGTTTGAATGCATTCTTGAGGAATACCAGAATATCACATCATCTGCAAAAGTCTGCATGTGCTAACATGCATTCTTAGGATCATTCTTAAATTGAGCATAGTATGTGTTTTTGGGTTTGGTATATATAAAGTACTAGAGAAGGACTACAGTACAGTGTGGTAAAAATTATTTTATCTTTGCTTTCTATCCCACATCAACTTGAATTTCAAAAACTTTGTGTAGGGATACAAAGGTTGGGAATGTTTTTTAATAAATTTACCATCCATATCTGTGGATAATACAGAAATATTTTAAATATTATTTTCAAAGCATCTGACTTTCATTTTTTTGGAGATAAAGTGCTTCATGAACTTTTCAAAAAGTAACCTAGGCACCTGACATCTGTAAATGTCTGATGTCTGACATCCAATCAGAATTACACATAAAGGATTTTGGTAACCCTTGTATAGCACTTTCTGCATTCAGACTTTACTTAAAAATTGCAGATATTGCTAATTGCATTTACTGTATCTAGTGTATTGTCTCTGTTTTCATAATAAACAGTCACTGTGTGTGTATACTGCCCCATTATTCAAAGACTTTTTTCCAACTTTGTTTCATTAGATAACTCCAGGACCAGGCGGTAGCAGGAAAACGGTTCACTTGTCCCAGGATTCTCTTCACCACGAGTGAGTATCAGTGATGGGAGTTAGAACTTTTTATTATTGTTTGCTTTACAGTAGTACCTCTGTCCCAAAGCCACATTTTACAACTGTACAAACATGTGATAAGAGAACCTCAGCTCAGCTACGTAATGATCTTTCTTGAATAATAGTATTTGTAATACTTCATAAGTAATTTTATGTTTGTTAAAGGAATGTGAAGTTCAGGGCTTTGTAAACATGTTTTTATTAACTTGCTAAGTATATGCTTTCCTAAAACACAACAGTAGATACCAAGTATGGGTTGTTGAAAAAGGGTGGCTTTATTTTTCTCCATTCAGAAATGCCAAGCCTGAATATATGAAAATAAACAAGCATCACATCTTTGAGTCTTAAACATGATGTATCGTGTGAGGAAGAAGGTTATCATAAATTAGACAAAAAGACACTGAATTAATTGTTTGGACAGATGTAAACACAGAATGTCATTTGGTTTGTTTAGTTACTCCAGTGTGCCATTACTGTAAACTCTTACTCCGTTCAGCTGACAACATTAGCAGCGTTATTTCTTGGTTATCTCTTTTGAATAGTTACAATAAGATGGTTAAATTTTCTTGTACTTTTCCAAATCAGAAATCTAAAACACAGACACACGTGACTAGGAAATTATATATTTGAGGATACATTTATATGTTCTAACTGCTACTAGATATAGCATCCACAGTTTAAAACAAAACTTGCCAAAGCACATATACTACAAACATCAGATCCTCAGTACCAACTGTTTTATGCTCCTAATCAACTTCTGTTGCATCCCATGACTTGCTAATGTGCGTGTTAACTAAAGAGAGTATGATTTCATAAGTTATTTCTACCCTGAAGTAGTTCAGCTGATTCTTTATGGTTTTTACTTTTGTTTATTTTATTAAGACAAACAAGGAAACAAATAATACTGTAATTAAGTGAATGGACAAAATTATACAAAACAGTGTGACGTGAATATCACGTTCTCATTAGAAGACGTCTTATTCTTTAGGAAGTTTTTTTAATGTCTAAATATGAGATGCATTCAAGTTACCTTGATTGTATTTTCTCACTAGAAATACATTTAAGTTAGTCTTAATCCACTGATTTGCCACAAACCAGCAGAGTTTATGTGTAGGAGGATACCTCAGTTTGCTGCTCCTCCTTGAGCATTTGCTGTTGACACTGGTCAGGGACAAGACTCTCATCTTTGTGGAATTTAGATCTAACCCATTGTATTTCTTATCTTCATCAGCTTCTGGATGTTTGTGACCTTATTTGTTGTGTCACTCACAAATGTGACAGTTTTTCTTTTCATCCACTGCCAACATCAAAGTTGTGTGCATGAAATCTCCGTTTTCCTCCGTTTTTGAACTATTTGGAGCAGTTGATGAACGTTTCATGTCCAAAATATATAAATAACTACTAATTTTTATCTCAAAGTGTATCTTTAATTTTATTGCTGTCATTCTCTTCTCATTTCCTACTTCTTTTCCTTAATCATCTTAAAAGTAGAAAAAGGAGTTAGCAGCACACAGGTTTCGATGACAGCTAGTCTTGTATACAAGAATGAGAGGGTTCACTGCTCATCAGCAAGCTCACAAAAAGTGAGTGACAAAAAGCCACAAAACTTTCAGATTTGTGACTTAAAAAAAAAAAAAAAGAGAGAGAGTAATTTAGACCAGTCAATTCTATGGAATCTGTTACTTCTCAGTATATTTATTGAAGTAAAAATTTTAGTGTCATTACATGGCTGCTGTGGGGAAAAAATGAGAGTAAACTGTATTGAATCTAACTACTTCAGAAAAAGCGTGACTAGGTTAATCTTATAATCTATGGTTACACTTCTAGAGAAACTTACAAGCATAATAGCAGATAATGCAATGGTCTTTTTGTGCAATATTATAATGGATGGAATTATTTTATCCTTTGCCCAAAACCTATTGCTTGCTTATATGACTAATATGTTGGCACCATATGTAATTTCAGATCCCCCTTGTTTTAATCATTTTTCCTTCTCCTTTTCATTTTGCAAGTGTCAAGATTTGCCCCAGTTTTGTATATGCTTACTTACAGCTACATTCAGATGTTAATTCAGTTCCGTGTGCTGGCAGTATGTAAGCCAACCAGTATTAATATGCTTTTACTGCCACTGAGGGAAAAGTCACGTTGTGAGTTCTTGTCCCTGCATGTCAATGTCTTAGTCCAAATTTTCGCCTCTATGAAATAACGCTGCCAGTAGTCAAAATTGTGCAATTGTATGGAGATAGGAAGCCACTGAATTTACGGATTTTGAATTTCACTTTAGATTCAAACTCAGACATCAATTTGTGAAATAATACATTAACAACTAGCAGGTAGTCCACAGTACCTAAAAATCTTTTTAGTTACAATCTTAATAAGTAACACTTCCGTACTAAATATGGAATTACTTTTATTTATAGCACATGCACTATAGTATATTAAAATACTATCGTTTATATATTATTTTAGCTTGTTTGACAAAATATAATTACCTATAAAGCCAATAGCTACTCAGAAGTGAAATTTGTAGTGCGTTCTTTCAAAACTGTTACAGACTTAGAGAGCTCAATAAAAATATCCCATTAAAATAAAGCATAGCCAAAGGCTGTATTTTCCTGGCAGACAATAAAATACCCGAAAGCACGCACAGGCTGGTCATATGACAGCATGTGCTTTGTTAGTTATATTGTTAAACCTGTCTTTTCTTTTTCTCCCACAGCCACTGGTTTAGCCCTGGGGCTAGGAAGGAACATAGCCAGGTAAGAACTGCTTTGATCAAGAACAGTTTACTTGAGATGTGTAAAGGAATTTAACTACCTCTACTCCAGAGGTAGTGGGCTAATATTTTAAGAAATTATAAACAAAGCAGATATGGTTTCATATTTTCTTGTAAGGAAACATATTAACAGCAGAGCATTTCAAAAAGTCCCTTAATTAAAAATCTTTAATCACTTAATTTCAGTTAAGCGTCTTTGAGTTTTAACAGGTTAAATGGAAAGTCTGGTTGTTTTCTTAATTATTTTGTTAATCATAGTATCTGCAAATATTGTGTTTCCCAAAATGCTGGAAAGCAAAACATTTGACTCTCAAAATCAAGAAATACAGAACAGTGACAAGAGTGGGCAGGCTTCTACAGGAAGATCTTCAACTCCATTTTTCTGCGTTTCAGTGGTTTAAATGACCAGAGCAGTAAAAAAGGAACTGTTAAATCTCTATCACGGTGCAGATATCGATGAAAGTATCTCACTACTTTGTCTGCTGAGCCCCTACAAATAGTCCCTAGGAGGTCCAAGCCTAGACATGTGGTTGAGGGAATGTGGAGACATGTTTAATACTTGATTAGCAACATAGCACTTATTTCTTTAGCTTGTCTTCAGACATGGAGGAATACCTTTCTTTGTGGATGGTAGTAAGGTCTAAACAGAACATACTGTCCAGGAACTTTATAGTGTGAAAATAAGTCTGGTTTCATTTCATAAATGTATCATTAACTTCAACTACTCAGTAAAAATAAAAGCAGCTGAATATATCAGCAGTGCATTGAAATTTAAGACTTAAGTTGCACAGTAAATTTTGCAAGTTGGTAAAAAATGGTATAACACTGTTGATTTCATTAGATCTGTGCCAGTTCACTAGTACATTTACAAATTTAAACAGATTTGAAACTTCAAAAGGAAATAAGATCTGTGGAATCTTTGAAGGGTTCATCAGAGGATGATCCATCATGAATGCTTGTAGCTCTCGTGAGTCATAGTTTAAATCAGTGTATACTCTTTCCTTTCCCCTCCCCCTTCTTTTGAACTCCAGAGCAAGCTGAATCTCTAAAAGTTATATTACTTGCCCAAAACTGCCAGAGTGGATAAAACCTAGTACAGTTTTAGCTGTAAATTGTGAACTTCTAACATGTTACATTAAGCTGACTGACACTTAACATCTAAACAGACGGCTTTATATGATTCACATTTAACTCTCATTATTTTGTAATGCATTTCCTAGTAGAAGAAAGACATTAAAAAGACCGTTTTAAATATGAGCGTGCTTCATCTTAATTAATCAAGTTAAAAAGTTCTCTTGGGTTAATCTTTATCCTCTTCCTGAAATTCTGACGCTATAAGTAGTCAAATTTGCTAGATTAGAATGAGTTTGAGTGAATATTTTTTTTAATTGGCTTTTTTAATATATCAATAGTCTCACATAACAGAGTAGTTAACTGAAGATGTACTGTTCACTTCTTTAAAAGATTCTAAGCTTAAAACAGAATGGAAATTTCCATGCTGAGAAATACGTTAACCTGCATCATACATATGGGCAATATCCATTCAGCATAGAGTGTGAAAAAGTCTGCTTAGCTGACACATAATGACAAATTAATTCATCTTTTCTCAGATAATATTAGATTTGAATTAATTTTAAATTTTATGTGTTTATTTTGTACTTCCTAAGGGCTGTGTTTTCAGGGTCTATCTGAAGTTCACTGTATTTGTAATTTACAGATTACTAATGAATTGTAAAGTAAAGCTAATGTCATCAAATAATGTAGGTGCTACTGGCATATAATGGGTTATTCTTTTTAGACAAGTAAAAAAAAAAGAGAATGATGGTGCAACGTAATTATGACAATTTTGACAGCCTATAAATTCTGACTAAATTTGTGAAGATCCATAGCGTATAACTATTGGTTGCATCAGTTTGCTACTTTCTCTTTTAATTCATTTCTGGAGTTGAAGTTGTTTTGTTAGAACACAAGTAATTAACTAGCCAAATTTAAAATCTGGCAGATGATCTGTGTTTGTACATGCTCTAACTAAAATGTACTTATCAGCCAGAGAATATTGATAACAGTAAGACTGTTCTCCTTAGCTTCATCATGAACTACATACACATTGTACGAATGTCATGCTGGTTAAAATTGTGGCTACATTTAAATATGAATTTTAAGTGCTCTGATTTGTTGATGATAAGAAAATGAAAAAAATATTTTATCAGAATAAGGTGCCTTACCTTTATGTATCCTTCAGAGTGCCTTTTAAAACTGGACTGCACTATTTTTACCGCACCTGAGAACTAGATAATTGAAATGACAAGGAGCATTCCTTAAACAAGAAGCAAGCTATAGAGAATTGGGGAAAAATTAATCAAGTGTATTTGATGTCATTTTTTGGAGTCCATGCTCATGTACAGCATTAAGGTGTGGTTGGCCAAGTCATGAAGTTCATCATTTCCTAATTTCCAGTGGACTTCTAAATGTGTTTGCTGTGAATATTAGATCCATTTACCTGAAGTCTGTTTCTAAATAGTCGTTCATTCTATACTATCTTCAGTATATGATTAGTTTCAAGAAACGTTTGTATTTTTTTTTTGCTCTCTAATTCTAATGTCTTTAGTGTACCTTTTCGGCAGTCGTTTTTTACTGTTACTGTCACTTTACTCATCCTGACAAATATCATAATGCTGGAAGTAGACTTCTGAATATTGGACATAGTCTGAATAAAAAGTCTTCCTTTATTTGTCTAAAAATAAATAGAGTAAATCAGAGCTTGTTCCAGAAACTGAGTCACCGTTTCAGTTAAATGAATCTTTCATTATTCCTACTTCCCCACTATTATCGGAGGCTGTAATACCGTGTTTTTGTTGATTCTGCAACTTTGAAATTACAAAAGCTCCTGGGGCTTACAGGAGTTTATAACTGTTTCATAACTGCTCAGATACGAGTGCCAACCTGAATAGTTTTTCATTACATAATTTTGAAAATTGAAATTGCGAAAACTGTAAAATTTTATACCTAAGTTAATTGTAAAATTGTGAATTGCATGGCTTTCTAATATGCTTTGAGAATGCTTTGATTTTTACTTCTTCAATTGTTTAGGAATTTTAAATTGGTGGATATATCTTGAAATACTAACTATTATTGTAAAATTCTGTGAGATGTCCATCTCTTCTAGAGTCTTGGGTGAAAACTATTGAAATATTACTCAAGACAGGAAAGAATGGCATTGTCAGGAAAACATTTCTAAAAAGCAAATAAAGGCATTGCTTGTGAGACTGTTCTGAACATTTCTTTTAATAGCTTCAACTCTTGCGAGACAACCGATCAGAAAGAGGACACAAGAAAAACAGCTCTGTGAAAACAGCTAGCAGGTAAGTTAATGTTCCAGCTGTCATTGATACTGTTTATGAATTTGTTGATTTCTTAACTCTCAAATGTTTGTGTAAGAAATTACACAGTTCTTTTGGGGTGTATTTTCAGAGGTCTTCTGGGGTTTTTTTGTGATTTACTTTCAAGAATTTCTTTTATATGGCATAATCTTTGCCTTAAATGTAGGTATTGGACTTTATTGGTGACTATATGCCACTATACTTGCTAAACTTAATCTCTTTAGTAAACGCCAGAATTAAATGCAAGCAAAAGTAAGGTTTGTGCTTCTGTCATGTAAGTTAAGTGCTGAAAATGTATAAAATTACCATTATACATACATGCTTTTGAAATCAGGAAGATAACTCAAATACTGTAACACTTAACTTGTTCTTATATCACATTTTGACAATAAAAATTTCATTGTGAAGACTTATTAAAAACAAATCTAGTTCTGTTCTCTGGCTTCTTTCCTCCCACTCAAAAGACAAAAAATTCAACACTGAACTGATGGGCACTGATCTAGGAGTCTGTTCCTGGAGGGTTTTTTATGTATATGTTACCTGCTGAATATATTCTGCCAAATAATTATTTTAATTCTAGTATTTTTTAAAAGTTGAAACTACAGAAATGTTTCCCTTGCTATGCACACCACCTTATACAATTTCTACATTGTTCTGTAAAGATGACAACGTACTATCAAATTATGTTTTAAAAAAAGTTAAAATAGATTTATTTCATAATGTAATACTATGGGTTTGAGTGAGACAGTTGTCTTCCAGGCACTTGTCTTTTACAGTATATGTGGTCACCCTGAAATAAGTTATTAATATTGTTAAATATTTGCTTTGATGAATACCTGTAGAGAGAAAAGAACACTTCTTTCAAAAATATGCATATTAAATACAAATCTTATTTCATTGTATACAAGTTCTAGTTACATGCTCTGAAACATTGGTTATACATGTGTTGGTCATTCATCTTCAGAAATTGTTGTTATCTTTGTCTATTAAACAAAATCGCTGCATGCATTTTCTGGCAAGAATACTTGTTAAGTCATATTTTTGCTCAGAATTTTAGAATGAGTTCACTTTAGGTATGAATTTTCACCGTAACTGCACTCTTACTATCAGGCTGCCTACATGAAGCTGAGAGTATAAAGTGGATATAAAGTGAGCAGTGAGAAACAGATTATATTTAAAGTCATTTTAGGATCTTTTCTATGCTGTAGCAATGTAAAATGGTGTCCGAAGAATTCAGAATCATAACTTACGTGTTTGTTATTCTGACCAATGAAGCTCTTGTGAAGTGATTGCTACCTACACAAGCAGTTAGTTTGTTCTTTAAAGTGACTTGAAGAGAAATTCTTAGACTTCTATGAAAATGATATTTTTAACGAACCATCTGCTGTCTTAGAATATCAAGTCATATATGTCTTATTTACAAGCTGTATATTGAACAAATTTTAACATTCTTGCTACAGTTTAGCTTCTGAAAATAAGAATTTAATTTGCACAATGTGCAAACATTTTTTCTCTCAAGCCAATAGCATGTCTGGTGACTACTTTCTTCCTGTAGCGTGAGTGTTCTATAACCTAATATTTTGCTTTTTATCAAAAGCTGTTACAACCAAAAGAGAGATTGAATTCCAGATGTATAGGGACAACACATGACAAATACATCGTTCATCTCCTCATATCTTCATAAGTCCCTATCCTCATTCAATTCAAAACAATTCCTCTGGTATTCCGTTCCTTATAAATGACATTCATGGTGCATAGTGACAGATGTCAGATTTATCTGTGGTTAATATTGAACTTAATTTTAAATTATCACTTCTACCAAAAGGGTTAATCTTAGTTTCACCAGGCAATACAGAGAAGGAAGATATTTCTGTTTAACAAGGTACCTATAGAAATCACAGGTTTAGTAGCAAATATTGTTCACAGAGTTAATAAAACGGTGAACATCACCTTAGTTGCAGATGGGCATCTTCATTACTGTGTATGAAACCTTAAGATGCAGAAATCTAAATGACAGATTTCCATGTGCCCAAATACTTTAAACCCACTAACCTACAATGATGCCGATCAAATGCCACAAGGTTAAGTTGCAGAATTAAGAAACATTTTAGTAAATCTTTCATTATTTCAGTGTACTACATGCATATGCAGTTAAATCTTCTGTTGAATGCAAGTGCTTACTCACACCTGAAAGTCTGAAGCTTTCTGAAATTGACTCTGAATTAGTTCTTGCATGTCTGAAACTAATACAGGTGACACATCAAGGTAATTCAGATTAGTAACCCCCTTAAAAAGAGGCATACAAAAAGTAGTGGCTGTGGCCTTATATTGTCTTAATGTTTGTTGCTAAAAGCAGTGATAGAACAGCAGCAGTGAGTAGGTATTGGAAATTCTATAAAATTATTGTGCATGTCGAGAATACAGTTTAATCTGCTTTTATTGCAAGACTGAATTTCTCTGGGTCAGTCTTCATATAGTTTTCACACACCCGTATTTCTTGCTGTTTCTTTTTTGTTTGCTTTTCTGAAATACCTTTTTTCTGGTTTTCTTCGGCATATGAGATATGTGTATACACACACACATTTTTCTGTGCTTGCCTTGACTTTTCTTACCCCTTTTGGATGACTGAACACCGTTCTTGTCTCAGCATGTAGACAATATGTAAATACCCATATTACATTAGATCAGTGACTTGTGGAATAATTTGCTCTGTAAATACATCAGAAAGGTGTGGAGCTCGAAACATGGCAGTGGTCTGCAGCTGTCTCTTTGTGGTGAAATAATAGTGATATTTGCTGGGTGAGCTTTAATGTACTGGGTTTCTTGTATTAGGTTTCTTCTGTCAAAATTAATAATAATGAGCCAATCCCATGTAAACTAACATGACCTTTTACTAGTGGCAAGGTAATTGGATCGTTGAGAACTGTTGATTTGGCTACTGATGAACCAAATGCTAAGAAGGGGAACAGCCCTGCACCACAAAACTTAGAACCTGGATAGATTATATTATACTGATACAGTTCAACACATCATTTGTATTCAACACATTTAAATATACACACACATATATACTTATATATATATATACACCTGTTTATGCTACCTTTACAGACAACTACTAATATGTAGTTTTCCCATTAATTATTTAAACTATATAAACAGTACTTAAATAATACTAGTTTAGAAACTGCATTTATTTCTCCTGTATAGCCTTGAAAAAGTTCTGTTTACATTATTTCTCTGCATTAGAATGGGAGCAGTCCCTTCCCCAGTCCAGCTACACTGCTCAAAGGTGTTAATTCTTCCAGCTGCTTGTTTTCATCCTCCACTCTTTTGCCAGTAAAGAAGGGGTTTTTTGTCTGCTTTTTTTCAGTACGCTTCGGGCAAAACCAGCCTGGTTAGCTCAACTCACCTATTTAAATTAAATTGGCTGGTTTTGTACAAACCATATTAGGGAGCGCTCACATGATTTCTTCCTCCGGCAGAGCTGTGGAGATGATAATCTCCAGCAGATGTGTGATAACAAATAGCTCGGGATAGTAATGTCTTCATCTGGCGCAGTTGTTAGCAGACCAAATGTCTGTCTGTAGCCCCAGGCTGTGGGCAAACAATTGAACATGATTGAGTTATGGCGAGTTAACAAGTTGCTGCTTGGCAGCTGAACTGCCATCGCTGATCATGCGCTCGTTCTTTGCCTGCTCCCATCATAGGGTAAAACACATTTCCTTAAGCCACCTTTGTAAAATTTTATAAAAATGAGTTCTACCTAAAGAAGATTTCCCAGGGCTAAGAGATTCGTTTGGTCAGCTATGGAGACAGCGCTGAACGATGTTTTGCTGAGCTGCTATAACATGATTTTGGACATGTGATTATATTGTTAAATATATGGGCAACCTCCATCACACAACTGTCTGCCTGTCTCTTAATGTATTTATCCTCGCAATACTTTACACAGTTAGGAAGTACTTTTATCCTCATTTGACAGAATAACCATAATCCTTAAGCAACTTAATATTTTGCCTTTGGTCATACAGTCGATGCCATAACTAGTTAATTTATGCTGTAATGTAGAATCAACAGAATTGCAGGTTGGGAAAACAGTAGACTACTGAAAAAGTTAAACTTGCGTAATTATTTCCTTTACTATACATAATGGTCTTGTGTCATATTTCTTTTGCAGTGTGCTTCTGTTAAGTATCATTAATTACTTTATCTACATACTTATTTTTTCTTATTGTACTCTAAGTAGAATTTGACACGTGCATGAATTGAGAAACTGAAAAGAAAACAGTGCCAGAAGCTTTTCCGCTTTCCAATTTTTTTTGGTCATATCTTGATAATTCTGTGTTGGCTTTCCACGCTCAAATGCTCCCTCAGAGATCTTTAAAAGAAAAAAAAAAAAGCTCTTTGTAATTCTTATGCAGTTCAGTTCTGGCTTGAAAGAAGGCTAAGTCATGCTCATAAAAGCGATTTCAAGGTGGTGTAGAATTATACAAGTGAGGTTTCAACTAGCTAACTGATGCTGTGTTGACAGTCTAGTCAATGTAGCAGCAGCTTAGTATGAAGTAATTTGCCACTTCTTGTGGCTGCCAAGTAGTAGACCATAGCTTGAGGTAGAGGTAGTACCTTGATATTTCTTGAAAAATCAGCAGGATCCACCTAATCAGCCGTTATTATAGCGTGAAAGGAGGACTGTGTGCCAGTCATCCAATCATCACCTGTTGCTGCTCTATTTTGATCTGGCAAGAAGTCTTTGAAGTCTTCGGCTGCCGTGGTGAACAGCACAGCCTGAAATACGGGTCTTTGCACGTGTGGAGGAGACATTCAGGAAAGCAGACTCTGGAAGTAGTATGAGAAAGATTACGTAAAGGAAATATGTCAGATGCTACTAAATGGTGACGTGTCAATAAAAACCCAGAACATCAGTCATAACTTCCCCGTGTTTTCTGCAACTGTCTCTTACCCTCCTCTCCCTAGGTGTT